AAGTCTTGTCAAAAACAAAATTTGTAAAAAGAAAATATACCGAGCTTGCAAGCATATGCACTGCTTGTTTCTTAATGAAATATTGTTGGCTTGTTAAATATTTGGTTAATGGTAAGCACATCTTTATTAACGCAACATATCAAAACATAAGGACAGAACTCCTCAACAACATTTTTAAATTAAAATCTATATTAAACAAAATACGTGGTGCTTAGATCTGAACTACATAACGGATTTTATTGCGATTGTCATCAATAGACTGGGTGATTCAACATGAAGGTTTATATGTATAATACAGTAACACGCGGGCGAAGCTGCAGGCAGATATGTGACAAAAGTAAGTCGGTCCAAGTTAAGATAAGTTTAAATAGGTAGAATATATTCCAAAGTTTTGCTAATGATTTAATTTTTAATATACGATGGAACAGATAAGGTACTTAGTCGACACGTATATTTTTCTCTTATTTATGTTTAGTGTAACCATGCAAAGCTTTTTAAAGAGTTCTCTCATAAAAATATAATGTGAGTGATATCTATAATAAGTTTATGTTAACATGGCAAGTCATAGCAAAAGTAAAACGATTTTGACTTTTCTAACTCGTGTATTCTGTCGCCTAAATACACATATCATTTGGTTAATTTCTTTGTTAAAATAACTTGATATGTGAAAAAATAATAAGTTAATCATATATTGACGCTTAGACAAATTGAAAAATGAGCCAACATTTAAGGTATTAAGCATCTCATTATTCCGTGAAATCTGTTGGTTTCTATTTTAAATCTACTTTTGCAAACTTATTTCTCAATCAATTTTTTATTTTAATTTTATAATTTAACTGTTTTTAAACCAAATATTTCCCACAACGATTTTTCATCAAAATAACGTGTACGCGACCTACACACATACTAGCGCCGCCTAGCGGGAATAAAATCGGACATCGCTGCCATTGCACGAGCCTTGACTAGTCTTAATATCTACTAAGTCTGCATTATAAATACCATCATTATTAACGGATCGATTTCATGTGTTCAACGCAAACACCGCGTATTATAAACAGTGTGGGTCGTTTTGGCACGTCTCCGAAATTTAACTCAGGATCGCTATATGTTTATGTGCATGTTGTGTTAATACAACGACATGTGAAATCACTTTACGTGAACCAATTGCATTTATAGTTTTTATTTTAATTTGCCTAATTGTGTTACACGTAAAAAACTATTACGACCACAATTGTCGAAAAAAATTTTCCGAATTTTCTTTGTCACTGTACACAGTCCTTTAAATAAATATTTATAGCGTGTAGTATAAAAAATTAAGTAAGAAATACATTGATTGCTTTCCTCGTCAACTTTAAATAATAATAAAAGTTCGAATGGAAATCCAATTTCATCACTATTTGAGAAATTTGCTAATTTACAACATAGGGCTCTTCTTTTCACCTCAAAATTTTTAGTCGCTTACAAATTAAGAACAGACGACTTCCAAAAAAACAATATTCATTGTGACACTTTATTTCAAAAGCAATAACAATATTCATTTTACAACTTCAAATAAATATTAATAATAAAATTAAAATAAAATAAGCTACAATAATCTTAACTAAAGTACCTCCTTGTCATTCATCAAAAACATGTGAAATAAGTTGGAATCAAATTCAACATTAAGAATAAGCATGGTTGTCACTTTCGCCAACAAAAGATATTGAACTAGATGGATGCCAAGTTCTGTAGATAATCCTGGAATCTATTTATAACAACTCACGAACCAATCAAATCTTAAGTTCAATTTAAATAATTCAACCGTAAAAATTAAAGGCATTGCATAAAACGTTATAGAATAAAAAAGAAAACAAATAATCGCATTTGAATAATTGCACATGTTTACAAATAAAGTTTAGGATTATCTACTGAACTTGGCGCCAGTTTACATCAATTCTATTGTGGGAGAAGTCGACATACGTTTCACACAAATTTCCCCAAAGTTTACTCCAGAAAAGCTTAAAGAAAACCATATACTTTAAATAAAAAGTTATTTAAATAATTCTGGTCATATTCACAAAGGTAGTAATGATATCGTAATGATTGATTCGAGTATCTATTTGTAGGTTGAAGTAATAAAAAACAACATATTTCATTATACAATGTTAATTTATCCGGGGCAAACTGCACAAGAACGTAATAAACCAGCGCATAGATAGAAAACTAAAGGTGAATGCACGCTTGCGGAAACAAAACGAGCGGAGGCCGACCGAGTAGGTAGGTAGTTGTGACGAAACCGCCTGCTGCGTCACGTCTATAGCATCACACTGCCCCGCGTTATGGACGGCAATAACTAATAACACAACACTTCATATTTATTCAAAGAGTATGCAACGGACCGCAGCAAAAAGTGTTTATATTTACAAATTAAATCGGCTACGTAATCTGATTTGTACTCATTAAAGTAATTAAATGAGAAAGGTTAAAGGTTAAATGTAATATTATAAACTATCCGACTAGATCATTTTAAATTTATGCAGATACATTAAAGAAAATGTTTTTGCGTTCGACAGATATTGCAAATCTTCCTAAGTACATTATAACATGAACATCAATCGGGTAATATGTTTATCGCCGAAATATTTTATTTCTATAAAGGATTTTATCGCCCCCGAGACCTATATCCAAATTGAATCGTGTATCAAACACGCTCTGAAATACGTATATCATAAGAGATCTTGCGTAAAATCTATATTCTATTAGAATAGAGCAGGTGTCAAGGTGATATAGTTTCACATGTTAAAATAGGACACACATACACATCTGAAACAGTGTAAAGAAATCGTGATTGACTATATAAAAGATACGGCCGTGACGCTAAAACTCATGCAAACATTCAAAAAGTGAAGAGCAGTAAAGAAGAATCTGTTAACAATCTTGTAGTTTTTGTAAGTAAACTCTAGTTCGTTAACAGACGAATCTTGAATATTACATTCAACTCCAAATAACAGGGTGCTCTTGTGGTTTAATATAGACATCGCGATCCTTTGAACTTGCCGCATTAATGTTAGGCAGTTTCAGTACTGCTCACGGATTTTAGTCATTTCGGGAACTACTACAACAAGAACAAAGTCGATTTCATCGCAACTAGGAATTTCGATGGAATTTTCTATTCGGAATGCAATATGCAAACTTTTGCCTAATTGTTTAAGCTGCATCAGATATGTAAAAGGAACGCATGTAATTATTAAGGTGTCAAGTTACTTTTACTTCCATACGTTTTGTATTTTTATATATAGAGTTTTCTTCGTTTAGAATGTTATATTAGTACATCTAATAGGTACTACCATCATGGAATTTGTATAATTAGTTTTAATTATCAAAGTGACTTTATATTAATTAAAAAATGGTTCGGTTATTAGTGTAACGTCAAGTTTTAATAAATAATATGGTTTTAATGGACAAAAATAGAAATTTGAAAAAATATTATCATTAACGTGACGTTTCGATTTCTAAACGTTTTATTATTGACTTTACGTAATATTGGGTACTATATTAAAGTCTTAGAAGAGATACGTCAATGTGACGGCGGCGGGCGCGTCTCGACGACAGAAGTAACATCAACAAATATACAAAATCTATTGTAAAACAGAATCGTTAAACAAATTTATGTTAATACTGAAATTAAGTGACACCGTCATGAATACACTTACGCACTGATGTTTTCGGTTAATATAAACATATACTTCTTTTGATAACAACATGTGTATATTTCAAAGATAACGGTGCCACTGGTCTATCATAATGACATAAATTTCATATGAATCACGTGAATTAACTATATAAATTATAAATCAAGATAAAAACATGTGTGGAGTGGAAAGTTACTGGTTCTATCAAGAATTTATATGCTGTAAGCATGTATATCTATTTCAAAGATACTATACGATACTATACTAAGTTCAGTGAACGAATAATCATCGAAGCGCCCAAGATGATGAAAAAGAAGTGAAGTACAAAAGATCAATTGTATCTAGTTTCTAGTATCTATAACTGCGTGCTAGATCAATATGCAACCGAAGTTGCATATTGATCTAGCACGCAGTAATCAAATTATCTTGGCACCCTTTTTTAAATTTGATCTACAAATAACTCGATTTTTATCGATGAAACACTATTCGACTGTAATCGGGCAAATCGATTCGAAATAGTTTGTAAGTTAATTGATTTTGAAGAAATTAATCCAAGATATTTTGATCACTTTGCATACTTAAATCAATATGTAGCTTAGTTGACTAGATAAAATTTAACTTTTGTACTTGTCAAATTATTGATCACCTTTCTAACGCTGACTGTACATCTCACACGAATTCCGTAATATGTAGGCATTCAGAAAAGTATGAGAAATTCTAGAACCTAAGACAACATTATGTCGTCAAAATGCAAATTGCCACCGAGAAAACATACTCAGACTTTATCACACACACACAGTTTTAAAATTTACAACAGTTTTTACATTTTTTCACGTTTCAATAATATATGTGTACTTATTCTTGATACGGAATACTAATGAGATCTAAACGTTCACCTTGCCGAAACAAGTTAGGTATGTATTTTTATAACCTCCGACGCGACGTTACAGGATACTGTGTCATTTGACAAATATATAAAAGAGTCTATATCATTTGAAAGAAACTAAATTGAAAACAAACTTGTTGCAGTGTTAGATATAACGATGACAGCTGCACACCCAGTTTAGAAATATAACAATCAGACTACGAGCATTAGGTCAAGGGAATCTGGTACCATGGTACAGTACCACATTCCCATTCTAATACCATACTTGCGGTATCGCACATCAGCATTATTACAGCATTGCAATGAATACCTTTCACTTCATGGATGATAGTGGAATTATTCAATTCATTAACGTTGTACACAACAGAAACACTGATTTAGTACAGAAATTATTCAATCATGCCGATCATGATTAAATAAATAGATTATCAAACAAAATATACCTGTTCTTCAGCATATTGTCAGGCACGAACACATTCCACCAGGAGGGGCGCTTCTGGCGCACATACGTAGTCGGAGTGTCGCTTTCCTCATCGGTATCGTTGCCCCCGGATTTTCGTCTTTTCTTACGTTCTAGCTGCAAGCGAGCTGCCCAAGAACGTCTTCTGCCTTTGTCGGTAGGCCCAAAATCTGGACCAACCGGAACAGCCAATGACGCCCGACGGGGCATTTCCGGTGGTGGCTCATCAAAATCTGTTAATTTTCTATATCGCTCAGCGAACGTGGCATCGGAAGCTCGACGTCCATTGGACGTAGGGCGTGGTGGAGTTGAAAGGGCTTCAGTAAATGTGTCGTCGTCGTCGTCAGAGTCTACAAAGGAGGGTTCTTCGCTGAATCGACGAGGAGTCTCGTCAACGGCCTCCTGTAAGCTCGCAAGCGGCAAACTTGGTCTGTGTGTGCGCAACCCGCGCGGAGCCCTCCCAGGTCTTCCATGCAAACGTGCCAACGCCAGCGGCACTGGCGACTCCGTCAACGTAGGTTCTCCACCACTCATTGTCACAGTTTTCACTAACACTTTTGTACAATTCACACTTTACGGAACCTGAATAATAACCATTACGGCTCCACCATTTTCGATTAACATTTTCATCAATAGAAAGCTTCGGGAACACTAAAAATACTGTTTTAGTACTTTTATTGTTCTGAAGTTTCGTCAAATTATAGCCTGTAAGTGAAAAAAATAGCCATGAATTTTCCATTTTAATTTATTTTGTGTGGCACTATCAATTTATTCGATTTTAATTATATTCTGCAATATCAAATACGGTCTGTAAATTTACAAAAATTGTTGAGGTATGAGACTCTAAATAAAGCTATTTTACCATAGATGACCCACAAACTTTAATAAACCTCACAAATTCAAGATATTTTTTCAAATTCCAAATATAGATTTTAATGAAGGGTTGGAAACTAGACAATTATAGAACGGAATTAGCACCATAAGCAGGTGCGCCGCCGCTATTCCATATAAGCGAGCGATTGCAACTTTCGTAACTGCATAGTCTGCGAACGACCTGCGAGCGTGCATGAACGTCGTCGTGGTCCGATCGGAGAAAGTTGCCACCGACTTGCATAAATAGCCAGTCACAACTGTGGTCGATTTCATTATCGCTACCACCATGACCTTTCCAATGACTACTGCTAAGTTGGACCAGACCCAACGAGTAGTCACATCGAAGACAGGCTCATATATTACTTCAGTCCCATTAAATATAAAGTTTATTGCCGCGGACATTAAACCAGAATAGTAGAAAACTTCCTTTAACGATACAACGATCATGTGGCATCCAACACAACGCCAAGGTCGCTGGAGAATTGAGTCCAATAAATTGATACTATTTGCTCCAGCTCGCGAATGTTGAAATTGTTTCTACATTTTAGAAAGGCACGTGTTTGTGGATGCTATAAATGATATATAGATTAACTTTAAAGCAAACTCACTATACAAAATCATAACAGTTGAGAATCTGAAGTTATAGTAAATGATTTCCGATGATTCTGATACAAACAAAATTACGTTTTGAAATGATCTCCAACAAAGAAAAATTACATTACATTAGTGTTGACAAGATGGAGTTTGACAGTTTTCCCTGGTGAAGACCCAGCTTCAAACAATTAAATAGAACCGTTTAATTTTTATTTACTTAAAAACCGCTGGATGAAATGGCTAATTCTTTTTTTTTTAGTATAAGCTCGAATGAAGTTCACACACATTAGAAAAGTTGGTCGGGTAGTTGATAACATCGGGAAAACTAAGAGTGCTCTTCTTTTTTATTAAAGATAAGCTCTTATTCCGATTTGACAAGATGTCGACTGTGGGACCATTGAGTACAGAATATAAATAATGTGTTAACACTCGATCAGTCACACGTTTGTTATACATAGAGAATTATAGAGTTATGTTTAGATAACAAACTATACTTTAGAAACACACCATTACTTTGTAATCGGAATAATATCTAAACTTTTTGTTTTAGTCTTGCAACAAATCAAGATACGAGAATATAAATCAACGCTGATCTATAAATGCCATATGATATGTATTGAAATCATGGATTAAGGAGTCCAACGAGTTCATTTAAGTAATGTGAGTGGGAACAGTTAACCAAGTTGCTTGGCGCACTTGAATTAAAAGGAATTACATCTTAAAATAATGTATAAAGCAAACTACTAATATCAGAAAGGCTGTGGCCAAAAAAAATCAACTAGTATTTTTCATAACCATATACAAAATATGAGGGGTAATTGTAGGTTTTTTACTACAACGAAACTGCAGCCCCTTCCCTGTAACTACGTCCTGTTAATCTTTATCAAATATGGCACAAGTTTGAATCACGGGTTGAAGTCATGGGGAATCACTCGAGGTTTTCTTTTCGTATATTTTTTGGCAAATATGGCATAGGAGGATAACACTAGTACGTACAACTACAAAGTGATTTGTGTTTATGAGACGCTTAGGTATTGAAAAATTAAATTGTGCAATCTTTATAAGTAGGTCAAGCGACTATAACGAAATATGTGTTAGGTACGCGCAAAGAATGACCGCGCAAAAACTTTAATAGCACACCGGCTATGTATAATTACGTACATTAAAATATTTACTACACATATATAAGTATTGCATTAACCGTTGCGGATTAAAATTAAATTTATACTGTTTTATTAATCATATTAACTTACCCGAATGTCGTAAAGTATGAGTGGATATTTTTTGTTAGTAAAATATTTTATGGTACCCAAATTATTTCAATTCAATTGCGGCACTAACTCTTTGTGGTCTAATAAAGATTTAAAATTCTTGTTTCCTTATAGTTAAACCAAACCAAAAGAAGCTCAACTTTTGGAGCAAAATTGTAATTTAATTATACGGACTGCTCTACTCGGACTTAAGTATTAAAGGTTAAAGTGAATAAAGATTAGTTAAGGTGACCCACAAACGTCAATCAGGTAAACCTGGAAACGTCCGCCCAACGTCCCCGAGAAAATTAACCTGACGTCGATTCCACCTCCAAACAGCACCGTCTACGATCGCAACATAATCATTACGTACAGGAACATATCTTTAAAATCCACTAATCAAATTAGAAGCAGTAAGTCTAAAGCAAGCCGATACCTCATATGTGATTGTAATGAAAAAAGGACCAAATAAAGTAATCGTAATTAAATCATATCTGAGGGTGAGGGTCGAAACCGCCCCTAAAACGTGACTTAATGAGAAATCACCTCGAAACTCAGAAAATATTCAATTCCTTTACGTAATTAAATTATATAGACAAAATGTCATTTTGTAGCCAATGGTTGACATGAGTTTACATAATGTTTTTAGAGTTAGGAAGATGCGTTATGATACAGTTCCACTTCAAAACTCTTTTAAGACAATTTTGCAGAGACCCAGCCCATTTTGATATCACAGAAAAACGGTTGCCCAGCAACTGAAGACCTATCTCTACGGGTATGGATTATGGACCGCTAATCGGCCCATTTTATCAATAGATTGCTATCGACAGTTGCAATGTCATTCGAACGTCACAAAATATATACTAAATTCCTCAATATCAAAAGAATTAAGGATCTCGATATTACTGCAACACTGATAAAGAAATATCAATAATCAGATGTACTTATTTATTATAGTACGCGCCATTTATATATTTACGAATTTTAAGCTCTGAATTCTTAAAATTCAAAGTAATCGGTCCATCACCATCAAATGCGAGTAATTCAATAATACATATTATTGGACAGAAAAAAATTACTAAACATATAGGGAATTTTTCGAATTATTAAATTGGGCAGAGATAGAGAATAAACATGTCTTACATATAAAGAATAAGGAAAGGGTGCGATATTGGCAAAGTTTAATCTATACTAATATTTTAAAGCTGAAGAGTTTGTTTGTTTGAACGCGCTAATCTCAGGTTCGATTCAAAAAAATATTTTTGTGTTGAATAGACCATTTATCAAGGAAGGCTTTAGGCTATATAACATCACGCTGCAATTATTAGGAGCGAAGTAATAATGGAAAACGCGGACGAAGTCGATGGCGGCCACTAGTAGTGGATATATCTCAAAACAAACATACCACAGATCAAATGATAATGACGACAATATATTTAATTTCGATGCGATTTCCCGCGTAAATTATAGCCAATGTCACCCGCATTGCTTGTGTGAAAGAAATTTTAAAATCAGTCCTGCAGTTTCAATGCCTATTCGAGCCTATTCAATGCAAACAATATTATTCGTAAGAATCCGACGATAATTTATTTATAAAGAAAAGAACTGACCCATCATCTATTAGAATTGCAATAGTTCGTGATGATTCTTAAAGCGATTTGCCATGTATGTAAACAAACACCTTATACTGCCGGCACTATTAAAGCCGTGCACGATTAAAAAGGTTTTATGATCTTTATTAACGATCTACTGATGTTAGATGTTGGAAAACATGTAAACACAATTAAGTACTACTACCTACGTAAAAATCAATAAAAAGTGAATCTCTCAAATAAAGATAAAAGAAACTACCTATACGGTGAAATGTCTTTACGAGATGGTCCAAAAAGAACGAACATGGTTTCGGGATGTTCTTTTGATGTTTAACTGTGTTTACATTCCATTTGAAAAACATCTAAATTTCTTTTATCACTTGCATTAATGTTGTTTTAAGTTCCAACAAAGGAAATGCGTAGTATCACAGACATTTTTATAATATTGTCTCCCAGTCATTTGTTTCATATCATATATCATGATATTAACTGTAGAATACATTAAAACCAACTGCATAATAAAATAAATCCATATAAAAAAAAAAACTCAAAATCAAAATGCAGAGAATTCAATCTGTAAGTTAAAATTTCAGTAAATACACTTAAAAAGCGCGTGAAAAACTACAGAGCATATTTATGTATACTTTTTAAATTGCTTTCACACGAACGGTGTAGGTGGCACATCTAGTGCGTATTGGACTTATTTAAGTTTATTTTGTATGTTTATCCCAAGGACACGTCAGTCGTAAAATCAAAATATATTCAAATGCGCAAGAATATATTTGTCTATTTACAGATTTACAACTAAATTACTAGGGTTACCAAGCATCGATAATAAATTAAACAATATTACCATTCGAGTCATAGCCCTTAACCAAAAATCTCATAAATATAATAATGAATTCTATTAAATAAAAAAAAAACTAAATTTTATGTGAACCTATACAATATTCCGATTCATTTGCATAAAACTATACCTACCGTACACATATTGGAACAGTAATAACTACTAATTAAATCATATTTCGTTTAGAATATGCCTCGCAAGTAACAATAAATTTAACGTACTGGACACAAACAAATATTCTAGGTACAACTATTTTCAGGGCGGAACTAATAGGGTCTTTGTTAAACATTACATACTTATTTTAAAACGTTTACATACTTGAAAAGGCAATATGTGCAGCTTCTAAAACGTTAAACAGTTTATGGTAATAACCTGAAGGGCGATAAAGCACGCACATGTGCTCGTAAATGTGTTAGCACCTTTACTACTAGTGCTCCACAGTTGTTATCGCACGTTCCGAATGCTCCAAAGAAAATCTTTAATGTTCAAACATTCCAGATGTATTAAATTTTATGAAGCCATTATATCATTTGCCAAAATTAAAGCAAA